TCGAAGAGGCCATCGTGTCTGACGAAACATCCAATGCCACCGTGGAAGCAAGTTGGCATTCATTGATACGGCTGCTTCATCAAAATCATTACGACACCTCCAGGAGTTTTCGGGAAGTCGAAATTCATATGGTGTGCGATAATTAGTTGTCGACGAATTCAGTGACGAAGCATCATTGACAGGCATATTTTGCATTTCAGCTTCGACCGCTGGCCACCATTCCACTTCTTCACGATCACTTTCTTCTTCATCTCTTGATTCAACAATTTGAGGTGAATATCCTAGTTCTGCATCGACAAATTTGTCGCCTCCCATTGGGAGGCTTTCACTAAAGAGCTCAGCCAGATATTCACCATCATCGTCATCAAGAGAAAAGTCACTTCCACGAGGATAGATTCCTTTTTCACAAAACAACCCACCAAAGAGGTCTAGAATACCCCGTCCATCCAGCATCGACCACGGACAAAAGTCCGCAGTCAAGAAGGGCCTCCGTGGTTCCGTGTATGTGAACAGATTGGTCAGATCGAAGACAGAATCCGTAGCACAGGAGGGAGGATAAGAAATGTAGTAAAAGGGGTACCAGGGACAAAGAGAGGAGGTTTGTCTGGATTCGGGGTGGACCTGCATGGCGTGCAAAACGTCGCCAGCGAACAGCGTGCTGTAGAGATCACCCAGATCACCTCGATAGTCAGGGCTACCGAGGAGCTCGTTGTAGTAGAATACCGAAGGAGGTGAAGGTTCGTCGTTCACACTTGGGTGGCCAATGAGAATGCGCTGCGTCTTAAAGTAGTTGCAAAAGTAATACTGCACGTAGTATGTCCACGGTGACGTGCCATTCAGAGAATCGAGAGAGAATCGAATTTTGGCGAAAGATGGAACAGTGTCAGAGGAAGCATCCGAGAAGCGGCGATGGGTCTTCTCATCTGCCTCAATCTGTAGACAAGAACAATTTGAAGAAAAGCGCAGACGAAAGGTAGAAAAAAACTTTAAAAAAGTCATAGTTTTGAAGCGGATTTGATAAACCCAACTTGGGCTGAACTCGGATTACGCTAGCGCCAATCAATGGCACTAAACACTTTTTCAGTACGTGGCAAATTTGGCCCCATTTGGCACTAGTAAGTAACGTCAAACATAGATGTCATTATGACTATTGACTTGCATCATGTGCGTAGGTGGAAACGCCAGGAAGAGACTCAATGTGTTCGTTCGGCTCCTGCTGGGCCTCCACATGCACCGCATCTCCGATTTCGTTCGAATCGTCTTCAAGGTCTTCGTCACCAAGAGGGAGGCATCCATTGGCCTCTGCCCACTCACACCAGGCTTGGTTAGGTGCATACCGCCTCCCTTCCACACGCAAACCTGCCAGCAGCCGAAACGTCATTTTCGTGTAAAGTTTCTCATTCGTTGCAAATTCGTCATTTGGAGAATCAAAATTCGGATGCTCAATTAAGTAGATGAGGGCCTTGACCACATCCAGCAGACTGTGACAGCTAAAATACAAATGCACCGAATTGCCAACACACCGCCTTATGGACGCGTCGAGCAGCATTACACAACTAATTCCAAAAGTCAACTCGTGCAAAATTATTCGAATTGGCAACAAGGGAAAATAGAGAAGTGTAAAGACCTTGAGTAAAATTGCAACCACGTTGGTGTTACAATAAAACAGTCGTTGAGCTCTATGCAACAATAATGGCATCTTGTTTAAGGACATTCACAAACCGAAGACCTCAAGTGGAAGTTGAAAGCTGGGTAATGCAGCACTGAAGACTTCTGTGCATTTTTTAACAGCCTGACAGCTCTGACTTATACGCATGACTTCAAAATATGTCAGTTCACTAATCCAAACATTAACGTGACGAAAAGGACAGACCAGCTGACTCAATACTTCATGCTCACTTGAAGCAATACCTACCTACCTATGCCATTCACTGAGAAGACTTAAGCAAACGCCACCATTGCCATTGTATATATTGGGATGAAAGATCGGCGTGATGAAGCGGACTTCAGGACCGGCTTTGGGATATGCCAAAGGGCAATTAATCTGTAAGACAGCAAAAGATCTAAATAAACAAAATGCAGTTTACTTTATTTTTGTCGGTTATGCTAAATACAAATGTTTTACCGAGTTCAACCATTTTGACGTTATTTTCATTAAACTGCATTCTTTAGCGACTTGTATATAAGCTGTTTTGATTACCACTTAGACTGTGCAGCCACAAACACCAAATCACCCCGAATGGAACATGCACAGAAGAGCAAACCCACTGTAATCCGTTGAAAATATTTCGCAAGCAGACTTCAATTTCGAAACAAAACAAACGTGATGTGAATTTCGCAGTCATGACTGACTGTCTACATCCCTTGTACTCGTAATTTTCAAGGCCGTCTGCATTGTATCAAAACACGCGCAGCTTCCAGAAACTGATCAAAGAGACCAGTTGTTATTTGTACACCACATATTTAGTTATGGTATCCTTCAAAAACACTCACATTGACAATAAACGCAGCGTGTGCATTGCGACCAAATTTAGGAGTCAACGACACAATCACTGAAAATTCCTTCACGGACACTATGGAAGCTTGACCGTTTGTTGAGGTGTCAATTGTGCGATAAAGTTGCTGAAGAAAAATGAGCGCTGACCTGTTGAATGCGACATTCTACAAAAAAAACAGAAGATGGGGCAATAAGTTGCTTGGATAAGCACAGGAAAGTAGTCACGGGTTCTCTGAATGGTCGAAACACTATATTCGGCTTGTGTTCCAATCTATGCTACAAAAAACCAAGTTATGTAAAGGTCGATGAGTCCATATGTAAAAAATGACTTCATAGAAGAACGCGATGAGAATTTAGTGGTGGTAAATACATCACTGAGGAATCAAAGGTTACAATAAAGTCAAACAATGTATCACAATATTAAAACACTTTGGATTAAAACAATGCATTTTGGATAACCTGTTCATGTTTGGAAGGATCATAACATTTTGTCAAGTAAACTTAAACATTTGAACCCTTAATACTCAATTAGGCAACTTTCTTGAAAAGGTGCATTGGTCAGAAATATTCTTGATGTACTATAAACATTAGCATTTGATCAAATTAACTTACAGCCTGTTGTCTCCACCTTATTCAAGTAAATGACAAGACAAACGATGCTGCACCAGTCACACTTTGACACCGCTTACGAATTCCGCGGGGTGTGTTCAAGGATAACTAGAAGCGATCAAACCTCAGCGACAGTTCGTAATGTACGAAAAGAGGGTTTTACAAAAAAACAGAATCAAAATTTTGTGTTGGCAGTTTAAATATACTGTAAACCTGATTTAGTTTTAATGCAAACCACAGCATTCTGATTTTCAGATCTGTCAAATTTGCATTGATGTCAGAAAGTCGGAAAAAGATATTTATTTTGTTCTAGGAAGTCTAATTTTGATTTTGATATGTACCTGTGGCTCATAGATTAAGCTGCTTGCGCAGTTAATCAAAAATTTTTAATTTCATTTTGAAGTGATAAGTAATTTACTTCTCGGATGGGCTGAATGAGTCACAATTTTTTAGACGCTCTGGCTTTTGTGCTTAAAAGCCAATTGTTTTGACAACTGCAACATAGGATTTCTTTGGATGGTCTTTCATTCTATGTATCTACTGCATTTTTTCCACCCAATATCTTTTTTTGACGCACTTTAACCGTTCTATCTTATTTGACTACCTCAGTTGTTCACATAACTGGCACATTATTTAAAAAGAAAAAAGAAAAAAATTTAAGTAAGTTAGGCTAAGGTAAAAGGCGAAGGTATTATTTTGCACCCTTTCAGTACCAATTGCTACGTCTAGAATGAGTTACGTTTACAAGACTTTCCTCACAGCATAAATGGGAATCGTTTTCATGAATATTATCATACTCTGACAGATAAATAGGCTATAGGCAAAGGTCTGAAATTCTTTATGTACTTCACAGCAATTGACAAGGCTTCTCAATCCATATTTCATCATTTAGATGTGGACAGCTTAATTTACTTAGACAACAAATGTTAGCATTCCTCACAACTCTTAACAGGCAAAAAAAATACAACTCGAACAATTATTTTGTTAGTAGAGAACAAGCATATTAACGCAAGCAGTTATAATTCCTATCTAGTCTTAAGATGTTTTATTAAATTTGCTGGTCTAAACAGCGTTAAATTTGCTAGGAAGGTTCGATAGTCAGACATTTCCTTATGTGCCGTATTATGTAAATGAACTATGTAGTTTCGTTCAGTCTAGAAATCGAAATTGTTGTGGTCGTATGTGAGACCTTTTTCATTGTAAAAACCTATGATACTTTTCACATATTTCACATATCTAAGCAACCGGTTTTGAAATTTAGTAAAATGATTGAGTACAATAGATGAGGCTATTCTCCTTAATTCAGCAAACTTCCCACGACAACTCATTTTTAAAAAATAAATCTCTGCTGCTGGATTGGCATTCCTGCAACAGTTTTTGTTTGCCTTGTTCGACTGTTACAATCTGTTGGTAGCATAACCTGCATCAGCATCGATTTCCAGTTGCACAGGATGTCTCTTAATTCTCTCAAAGTTCATGTAATGTCACCTGTGCCTTTTGGTAGAATTCATGCTATTTGGACCTTAGAATTTACTTGTACTATTAGATTGACTTCCCAAGGTAGTCCCGTGCTTGCTGTTTTCTCCTTTCATTTTGGACAAGGACACGTCAGACGTGGCGACAGGGGTTTTACTGTCGCAGGTTTGACAGCATTTGACAGCAGAGCCCTGTCGAAGGCGGGGCGCAATTACTGCACTACTAAACGCGAAATGCTGGCCTTAAATTTTATCTCAGGGTACTATATGCACCATCTCCTAGGTAATGAGATTGTCGTACGTACGAACCATAACGCTCCAAGGTGGTTGCCTAACTTTAAGGAACCCTCAGACATCATTGCGAGGTGGCAGGAGGTAATGAATGGACGTCGGGAATCATTAACGCAGAGCGAAATCTACACGCTAACAGTTAGGCAGGTGTACAGAGGTGAAGGTATGAAAAGAGGTTGCCAGGAGTATGACATGTTGCATGGCGTGTGTGACAGTTTTATCATTCGTATTTACCACCTTGTCATTTTCAGTATATCTTATCTTAGAAAATAATTGCAATTTTAATTTCACTTCCACCTCCTTGTCTTTGCGTTGTAGAGTTCCTTGTACGCGACTAATCATAGTAATATTATGCTCGCATTTAATCCCACATACGAAGACAAGTTTTACGATAGCCGGTATAATGCAACGTGCCTAAGGAGCGTGGACCCAAATGGATGGGTCGGTGTTAGTCTGTCTCTCATAGATAGCCACATTACCGGCGTTGACTGCCAGAATGCGAGAGAAAAGTAGTAGGGGGAACCAGATGTGTTTCGTATTGGGGTATACAAATGCACAGAGCCTGGTGTTTAATGCGAGTGTTATTATTTGAAGACTAAGAGAGCGGACGTAGGAGGGGTCACTATTTATCAAGTGCTTTATCCTTCTCTACTCTTACAAATACTGGCAATCTAAAATGCATTGTTAGTTCTGTCTACCAGTGCCCCAAAAACAGCAGTACTTTTTCCACAATTGCTGCTAATAAAACATCTGACCCCTCAAAATCGACACATCGCTACTACCTCTAATTCTCTAAGGAATTCACTTTGGATTGTACAGCTAACATAAACACTCGTCCCAAATAATGCAGAGGGTCTTCTATACACCTACGAGATGCGCGCAATTTTGGTAGAAATGATGATTTCACAAGTGCATTTCCAAGATTCCGACAGTGATTCATGGTTAATTGATACTGTCGTTCCAGCAAGGGCTGATTTCTTCTGCTAAAATCAAGGCGTCATTTACATTGGCCTTTAAAATTGACGTTTCAGTTGTTGTAGAACTAACACTACACAAGAAATTGTGTGAACAGCTTTGGTTTGTCTGAAAACTTGTTAGACTATTGGTTCAATAAAAGTTGGAACAACACCGCGGCATGCATACGCAGAATATCGGACCTCTAGTATGAAAAAAAGGGGTATAACCGCAAGTTCTGTTGACCAGTCACAAGGAAGAAGCGTGGGTCAGGCGCCATCCATCCAAGTCCACCAGGGTGGCTGCGGTACCCACGTTTTCCTGCTTCTTATCCCTCCTTGTCTCTGGTTGTCTACAAATCTTCATCGCAGACCATTCGAACTGAAAATGACAGACGTTTGGTTGAGTTCTGCGTGGTTCAATGTGTCTGCGTCCTTGTAATTCACTGCACATAATTGCTTGACACTTCTGGTTGACCAACCTCAGTAAGCTTTCTCAATTTGCAGGCTGTCATTTTATATTGCCCTTTCAACAAAATAGACAGCCCTCGTCAATTCACTTAGGTGTAGTAACCAAATATGGCAAGAACTACACATCTGTCGTGTCTCCAGTTCATGAGATTTAACGTCGCCTTCTTCATTTGAAACGATAAGTTGAATTTGAATGCCTTGTCTCATGGTCAGTCTATGATGCCTATTCCAGTCCCAATTATTAAGATGTGTGGATGGCGTGCAAGCTACATTTGATTGCGCAACACCTACAGATACAAATTATCGTTAAAACTTACCTCACATTAGCAATAATGACTGGAAAACACATTCCACATTTGTGCGCAAGTGGCGGCATTCCGAATTAGGGTAATACTTTTATTGAGATTGATTTTGATAGTAGTGGATTATCATTGACTGATGATTGCCGGACACTACTACAAACAGGTATTTCGTAATTGTGACAATCGCCGACGATACTAATGGCACGTGAGTGAAATAAATTCAAAATTTCTCTTACAAATGTAAAATGCGTCTCTAGACTGATGTACATGCGTGTGTGTGCACACGCGATTTCGCCACGTGTATTGAATTGTCAGTTCCGAATCGCGGTAATTTTTGTGTAATAGTGGGGCGGGGTTCATTTAAGATAATAGAAATGTGCATTTAACGCAGGAACGCTTGGATCGCACCGCCGTCATAGATGAAATAACTATGTTTAATGTGTTTATTCCTGTGAAATTTGCCGGTGTGTGTGCAGACGTCCGGCAAATGCACCTGTTCGCGAATCGCTAGAGGCCAACCTAGCCACCACGAGGTGATGCAACTCTACGACTGGCAAAATGTTTCCCTGCGTATTAATCGAATTATTTGACTT